TCTCTTCAACTACCTGAAGGGAGGTTATAGCCAGGTGGGGGTTGGTCTCTTCTCCCAGGCAACCAACAATAGGACAAGAGGACATGGGCTCAAGCTCTGCCAGGGGAGGTTTAGGTTAGATGTTAGGAAGAAATTCTTTACAGAGAGGGTAATCAGGCATTGGAACGGCCTACCCAGAGAGGTGGTGGACTCACCATCCCTGGAGGTTTTTAAGCAGAGATTGGATGTTGCCCTTAGTGCCATGCTATAGTAATTGGAGTTGGATCAGGGGTTGGACTTGATGATCTTGGAGGTCTTTTCCAACCCAATCTATTCTATGATTCTATGATTCTATGTTTGGTTATTAACCATAATTTTCATGTTTTGAATAGAACTAAAGACCCTGAGACTGGTGGTTTTTTAACCATACTTAGGGGTTTTTTTGCAAAATATAGAGTTGTCTTATTTCTGGAATGAGAGCAGTTTCCAAATAGAACACCATCATGTCTAGAAGTTTAGCAAGCCTAAAATGTTTCTTGTTTTATACAAAGCATTACTATGGAACTGGATTATATAGCAAAAAAAATGAACAATTAACCATGTATTATGTGTCCTTTATTTTGTTACCTCATCTCTTTCACTGACAGAAAATAGGCTGCAGAACTGCATCTGTAATAGAGAAAGGAAAGCTTTCTTAATGTCAAATTAAGGGTATGGTAGTTTATGTCCTTGAAATAATTTTAGTTTGTCTTTTATCTAATTGATTTTTCAGAACTTCTTTCAAATCATTAGTAATCTCTTAGATGAAGAAAACAAAGAGAAATGGGAAGATGCACAACAGGTAAGATTTTACAAAGTGTAATATATAGTTTTTAAAATTATGTTAAACATGCACCCTTTCAAAAATTCTAAGCAAGACAATATTTTGGAAAAAACTGATCCTTTTCAAAAAGAAGAAATTTCAGGACTCACTGGCTAATTCCTCAGATTAAATTTATACTAAGAGTATAAGGTGCTTCTCTTGATTAACAGATTTTTATTACATTCCATAGGATTATGCACTATGCCTTTGCTTTGGATGTTGTATTAAAGTATATACAAAAGCTGAAAAATGCTGTTAAAGAATATCTGCAGTGCTGCTTTTGTTAAACACATCAGAACTCACCTAAAGACCTCATATGACACCACCGAAGAACTTACAGAACTGTAAACAGTAGACCTTTTCTAAAAGGTTGTATTTAGGAGAACAGTTGTAATCCTCAGACTAAAAAAGTTCTCAGCTAATTTAGATATGAGGATAGCATTTTATAAAATAGGAAAATGTAGCAAAAAAAAATCATTATTTTATAATGAAATAGTTTAAAATTCAAATAAAAAAAATTTTTTCCTTGGATATGAGAATTTCCTATATGCTTATACCAAGAAATTCTAAGGCAATAATTAAGTAATGGCCAGTCTTCGCGAACGAAGAACCGGGGAAGGTCTTTCCACCTTCCAGCCTGCGCATTGGATTTTTTAGGTGAGACACAGTGTGCGCGGAACTGAGCCCACCCTTTAATCCTGAGGTTCATCTCCCAGGGCCAAGCGAGCTTGGACGGTGGCAGTGAGGTCCTCAGGATGTAGATGGATTGCCTTACAGGGCTAACGAGCTCCATCTGCCCAGGGAGTGGCCCTGAC